GTGCTGTCTATTTCTTCTGATCATCCTTGAGATGGTTCTACACCTTCATTTGAGTCTAGCTGTGTTTGATTATACTGATTGGACTTGATTTGGAAAGCCACACACCTGTCTATATAAGACCTTACTGCTCACAGTGCATGTCAGAGCAAATGAGAATTATGAGGTCAAAGGAACTGCCTGAAGAGCTCAGAGACAGAATTGTGGCAAGGCACAGATCTGGCCAAGGTTACAAAAAAATTTCTGCTGCACTTAAGGTTCCCAAGAGCACAGTGGCCTCCATTCCTTAAATGGAAGACGTTTGGGATGACCAGAACCCTTCCTAGAGCTGGCCGTCCGGCCAAACTGAGCTATCGGGGGGGAAGAGCCTTGGTGAGAGAGGTAAAGAAGAACCCAAAGATCACTGTGGCTGAGCTCCAGAGATGCAGTTGGGAGATGGGAGAAAGTTGTAGAAAGTCAACCATCACTGCAGCCCTCCACCAGTCGGGGCTTTATGGCAGAGTGGCCCGACGGAAGCCTCTCCTCAGTGCAAGACACATGAAAGCCTGCATGGAGTTTGCTAAAAAACACCTGAATAAGATTCTCTGGTCTGATGAGACCAAGATATAACTTTTTGGCCTTAATTCTAAGCGGTATGTGTGGAGAAAACCAGGCACTGCTCATCACCTGTCCCAACAGTGAAGCATGGTGGTGGCAGCATCATGCTGTGGGGGTGTTTTTCAGCTGCAGGGACAGGACGACTGGTTGCAATTGAGGGAAAGATGAATGCGGCCAAGTACAGGGATATCCTGGACGAAAACCTTCTCGAGTGCTCAGGACCTCAGACTGGGCTGAAGGTTTACCTTCCAACAAGACAATGACCCTAAGCACACAGCTAAAATAATGAAGGAGTGGCTTCACAACAACTCTGTGACTGTTCTTGAATGGCCCAGCCAGAGCCCTGACTTAAACCCAATTGAGCATCTCTGGAGAGACCTAAAAATGGCTGTCCACCAACGTTTACCATCCAACCTGCCAGAACTGGAGAGGCTCTGCAAGGAGGAATGGCAGAGGATCTCCAAATCCAGGTGTGAAAAACTTGTTGCCTCTTTCCCAAAAAGACTCATGGCTGTATTAGATCAAAAGGGTGCTTCTACTAAATACTGAGCAAAGGGTCTGAATACTTAGGACCATGTGATATTTCAGTTTTTCTTTTTTAATAAATCTGCAAAAATGTCAACAATTCTGTGTTTTTCTGTCAATATGGGGTGCTGTGTGTACATTGAGGAAAAAAAATTAACTTAAATGATTTTAGCAAATGGCTGCAATATAACAAAGAGTGAAAAATGTAAGGGGGTCTGAATACTTTCCGTACCCACTATATATATATATATATATATATATATATATACACACACACATTTTTATCACTGGTACTGTATATAGAATACAGTATATAGCCTGCATAAACAGAATATAAATACATAAACACATTTTTTGCAATGATAACTCAAATGTGGTGATCAAACACATAATGATGTGACAAAAATATGTAATGGAGGCAGGGTATTTAACAATAAACTTTATTATCCAACATGAGCCTGACATCAGTGCACTTAACATCACTTATTATAAATAAACACAAATATATATATAACTTGAATTAAGAAAATAAACAATGTAACTGTGTAGGGCAATAAGCTACTGCCAATCCAACAGGGGCAGGTTTATCCAGGAAGCACAGCTTTTCCAAATGTAAACATCTAAAATGAATAAATAATAATAATAATAATGAATAATATATTTTTTCACAAATTCTGTGTTGTGTATTTTCTGATAAAGGAACACACAGAACATGAGGATTCATATTTAAAGGGGTCATATGACGTTGCTAAAAAGAACATTATTTTGTGTATTTGGTGTAATGAAATGTGTTTATGTGGTTTAAGGTTCAAAAAACATTATTTTCCACATACTGTACAAGAAGCATTTCATCTGCGTAATGGCGACGCTCATAGTTTACTCAGGAAAAAGGTCTATCTGTTCTGTAAAAAAAAAAAAGTAATATCTACAGCATATTCGTCGATACCGATATATCGGTGACAGGCTCATATCGGCTGATAAAATCAGCAAAACGATAAATCGGCCGGGCTCTAATACATACCGTTTGGTAAAAATACACAAAAACAGTACATTTTAAAAATACAGTAAAAACAGTGATATTGTAAAATTTTACCATTAAAAAAGCTGTTTACTATTTGCTGATTTGGTGCTCAAGAAACTTTTCTTATCATTATTATTGTTGTGCAGTTGTGCTGCTTAATATTTTTGTGGAAACTATGATACATTTTTTCATGATTTTTGGATGAATACAAAGTTCAAAAGAATAGCATTTTTTTAAAAATAGAAATCGTTTGT